TTAAAAGATGGCCTTCAAGCAGGTACATGGAAATGGGAGAGTGCAGAGGGCATCTGGAAACATGTTTTAACTTCACAGAGGACGGGAGAGGGAGAGGGAGAGACAGAAACATCAGTGATGAGAGAGAATCACTGATGGGCTGCCTCCCTGCACGCCCCAACTCAGAAAAGAGCCCACAACCCCGGCCTGTGCCCTGACCAGGAATCGAACCCTGACCTCCTGGTTTGTAGGACGATGCTCACCCACAGAGCCATGCCGGCCGGCCAGCCAATGGCATTTTAATGTGAAACTACTGCACCTACATCAGATTTATTTTCTATTCCACTCAGGTAGTTACTAATGACTCAGACACGAAAATGATCCAGTGTCAGGAGCAGCTGAAAGCACTTCCCAACGCTTCTCGGAGCGACAAGGACGAGTGTTTCTGGTCCCGGGGTATTTCCCCTGCAGCCGCACACAGAGCTGGGGCTCAGTCAAGAATGCCGTTGGGACTGTATATGCATCTCAACACAAAAGCAAAAAAAGTCCTATCGCAGGCTACCACCTCCCCCAGACACATCTTCCCACCGCTCACATTTAACACGTCAACCATGCCAGGCCCGGAACCTTCCCAGGCAGCCTGGCTGGGTGCTGACTTGTGCCGAAATGTGGTAAATTAGGTAGGAGGAGGAGCATAAAACTCAACTCACAATGCCGGGCCAAGGGCTGAACTGTGGTGTAAAGAATGAAAAGCTGGCTGGGGTGACCTAACATACCCCACGCCTCGAAACAATCAAGACATTTAAGTCCGAAGACAGATCTCAAATAAGGGACTGCCCAGCCTCGGGCTGCACACGGGGCACCGCTGCCCGCAAACGCCACGCGGGACACAGAGATGCGGGGTGCAGATGCATCCGGAGCCCAGGGGTCAGCAACAAGAATGAGACAGGATGACGAGATGAAGGCAGGAAAAGGCGAGGATCGGAACAAACACCACCCCCTCCGGCCCCTGAGCACACGTCCTGGGGCCCCGTCGCCCGGGTTCGTAACTCACCACCCCTACCCGTGCCCGGTCAGGCCCGGAGCTGGTCTTGCAGGGGCAGTGCCCGCCGCAGAGGGAAATGTAGGGACTCCATCCTCAGCTCTGGGGCACACGCTCACAACGGGGTAGCACCCTTCTCCGCTTTTAAAGACTTGCCCTGAGTGACACAGGCAGGGCCGGGCATTACCCAGCGGGTGACACCGGCCCCACCATCCCTTCTCCCGCCAACAGCAGAGC